TTTTTTTTTTTTTTTTTTTTTTTTTTTTTTTTTTTTTTTTTTTTTTTTTTTTTTTTTTTTTTTTTTTTTTTTTTTTTTTTTTTTTTTTTTTTTTTTTTTTTTTTTTTTTTTTTTTTTTTTTTTTTTTTTTTTTTTTTTTTTTTTTTTTTTTTTTTTTTTTTTTTTTTTTTTTTTTTTTTCATTGTTTGGGGAAGTTTTGTAAGAGAGTTGAAAAAATTTTATCCGATTAATTTTTACAATCAAAGAAATACCGATACCGATACCGATTAATACCGATTAATTTTTCAAATTAATTGTAACGAGTTTGGGATATTCAAAGTCAGCTGCGTCGGGTAGTCATCGCTTCACTTGTCGGACTAGAATGACTGAATGCCTAACTCCTCCATGACGAGCACAAATCATCCCAGAAAGGAGAAAAAAGGAGAGAATGAAGGCCTCGATTATACGTTTTACACCGCCACCTCCCCCGACTTCCCACTAATACCAGTGTCATTCGCGCGATTTTAATTTTATTTATAAACATGATTCAGAGCCGTTGAGTGATGCACACCAGAAGTACCAGGAGTGCTAACTGAAACAAAGAGATGCTCTCTGTTTTCGTTTGATCTGTTTATGCTTGTGTTTTGTTCTCTCTCTTTTTCATCGAATTGGAGATGTGCGTATGCTAATTTACCAGTGATACTCTCCAGCTATCGTGCACGTAGAGGCCCGACAGAAGAATGAGGCTGAGTCCTCGGTACACCAGGTGGTCCTCTCCTCCCGTGTTGGAGCCACCTGGGGTAAACGACTTTTTTCGTATTCTCTTATTTTTTGCGTTGGCAGGGGAATTTTTTTTTTATTTCTTTCGATCTGGAGATCATGACCCGATGAAGTGTCCCATCGGGAAGTGAAGTCTAATTAATTGAGAAAAAAATGGCATGTCATGTGACCCCACTTTGGTGTGCAATTCCCCTCATAATAATTCCGAAAATTCCGTTAGATAAAAAATTATATAGAAAATCGTCGCTAATTTTAGTGTACGAAAGGTAATCGTGCACAGAGAAAATTATTTGGTGAATTTCAACAACTCGTTGTTGAAAAAATGAATTATCAACTAGTTGTTGAATTTCAACAACTATTTAATTGAAATTCAGAAAAGATTTTTTAATTGAATTCAATCAATTTTGGCTACCAAATTACACTTGAAACAAATCCCGCAATCAATTCAGTAGCGAAGTGGTAAAACGGTTTAAGTCAATTTTGATTACTGGCAAGTTTTCAATGAATATCTCGGAATCTAAGGGAGATAGCAAAATTTTTATAACGAACTTTTTTGTAGAGCCGATTGAGAGCTACAACAAATGTAATTACGATAATTTCGCCATCTCCCTTAGATTCGGAAATATTCCTCAAAAACTCAACTGGGAGATGAGTCGACTTCGACCCATCAAATAAATCGCCGAACGTTTACTAAAAATTTCCCAAATAATTGTCGCATGAAATCGAAAAATCTTGTTCTCAATTTTAATTAAATAGTTATTAAATTTCCCCAACTAGTTGTTGAAAATCACCAAAACAATTTTCTCCGTGCGGAGCGAATTTCTCATCGTTAATAAAAATAAATTGAAATAGTTTGATCATGTTAGTGCACCTCATGTCCTCCTTTTTTTCCCCTCTGATGAAATAAACTAAAAAACGCTGTTGAAAAAAAGGAACTGAAATGGCGTTGAAACACGCTGAAACAAGTCTGTGAACGTCTGAAAGTAGTAGTCCTGCGCGTTCCCACAGTCGTTCGGGGCGTCGAGGAGATTCCGCAGAGTCCCCCAAAGAGGATTGGATATCCCAGACTTTTCAGTAGTGGAGTTTTAGAGTGGATTTAAAGGACACAAAATGCCCGCTGCTTGGGGGGGGGGGGGGGGGGGTGGTGGTGAAATGCGGGGGAGGGGTTAAAAGAAGAGCTCGTGCGCGGGGAATCGGGAGTTTAAACAAGCCTGGAATCTTATAACATGCCAAAACACCGATAATGCGACGGTGTGGTCTCCGACGTTGGACGCTTTTCGAGACGATTATCCGTTCCCACGCGCAAACAATCTCGAATGGGTGAGTGAGAGGGAGGGAGGAGGGTTTGTATCGTATGGATTGCGATCAATGTAGGAGTCCCATCATTCCAGACGAGGATTCCATTCATTTCATCAGCTTTACGGTGACTACTATGCTGACTACTACGGGGCACCGGTGGCCTTTGGAGAGGTATAAATTTGTTGATTTAGGGGATCATTCTGGCTCGGAGCATAAATTCTTCGTTTGAGAGGAAAAAATTTAACTTGTTGCTTCATTTGGGACGGGCAAAGATCGTCAGCCAAGTCTGGGGCAGACGTTGGCTATAGAATTTTTAAATAGGTCAATATCGGAGAGTCAACGTCGAATTAAATTGAAATATCGTGTTGAGCGATTTATCGAACAATCGATAAGATAAACAATGGCGAATAAATCTGATAATCCACTCGATTTCGGGTGAAGTTTTACTGCCTTGTCGACGGCATAGTTGCAGCCTCCTATCTCGTCATATTCTCAGGGATTTTTATTTCTCCCATCCAAATATTCTACTCCAATTTTTTCCCCACCGTTCCACTCCGAGATACCATTCATTCCTCGCCTCTCCCAAGGACCCGATACACTGTGTATTTAAGGTTCTCGAGTCTTGCAAAACCACAAAAAACGATAAATTAGTTGATTTACACTCAATCATCCTGTCTAGTAGGAAAAATACCACTGTTCTTTCTCCGTCGTCCTTGAACGTCCCTCAAACCGTTGTCCAATTATAAAACAAACTTTTTTTTTCCGCAGGGATCATCACTACCAGATTACGGAATGCCCACCAGGGATAATTTATCTGATTCCATTCAGAGAATCGTAAAATACCTAGCGCGACGTTTATGACGATTTTTTAAGTTGTCATTCCTGTGGTTTTATTACTCTTTAAAGAAACATGTCTTTTATTATCGATCATCCAGAAACAGTGATTTAGTTCTGCAAGTTTATTTTATCTCTCTTGTTTCTTCTCTTTTATGCGCAGCCACGGCAGAGAGGGAAATAATGTGCTCCTTCACCATTAAGGATGCCACGCGCGTATATGATCGGTCACGAGACGCCCCAACTGCTGTTTTGTGTCGTTGGGACCACTCTCGTCTTACTTCTCCTGATTTTTATCACCAAGAAAAAATAACGCTACCCTTATAACCTCTTAATGTTGTCAACGCCTCTATCTGATTGAATTTTTTTTACGTTTTTTATTGCTAAGTAAAATTGAAGTGCTGCAGGAAAATTCTAAATTCTTTGGTATTTTTTATTGGTCTGCTGGATGATCTGGGAGGATTTTTTTGATAGCAAGTGAACATTCGCCCCAATTCAGGGCTCAACGGAGATAGGGTGCGCCCATATACCTCAGGCTTATACTGAAATTCTTCCACGGGAGTCTCCTCAACTCCGGCAATCCCTGGGAGACAAGAATCTCGGGCAGCCGTCGACTTCTCACGGCGGTTTCTTTGATGTTTTCGTCCCAGGCATGGGGCTAGCCACCATGGGCACCCACTCTTAACCCCATCCCAGGAGAGAAGTCACTTTTGGGTGATTCTTGGCTACTCTCGTCACTCAGTCCCTTCCCTAGTTTTTTTTATTTTGGATTCATTCGGGTTTACTGTTATTGCCATTACGGTTATGGGGAACTTTCGGGGAAACCGTCCACATGAAAACGAAATAAATAAATGGATTTTAAATACTGAAAATTATTAAAGTATTGAATGTTTATTTTAGATTTGATATTTTCATTTAAAAAATGCAATTTTTATGCCGAATATTCAATGAAGAGCATTAAAATAATAAAATTGATGCAGATGACAAAATGATTCCATTTGGAAGTTGAAAAAAAATTTTGCAATTTAAATTTTTACGATCCCCGTGAAAACGAAATAACTGAATGAATTTAAAAAAAGCTAAAAATTATGAAAGTATTTGATAATTATTTTTCCATTGAAATAAAAAATGCAATGTTGATTGAAAATATTCAATGAGTAAAATTAAAATTACAAAAAATAAGATGACAACCTGATTTCACTCGAGTTCTAAAAATTCAATAAAAATCCATCTCAACCCAAGTGAAACTAAAATTTGTTACAATTTATTTTCTCACGATCGATTCAAAGATTTATCCCCCATCGAAAATGTATTTCCTTTAAAGAACGTAGGTGGTCCCCCCGGCACTGGCCGGGCAATAAGGGGGTGTCGAGGCCATTAGCGAGAATTCCTATCCTCAGCGGTCAGAATCCTTTTATCCTTGGCAGATACCTCCGGGATTCCTTGGCGTTATCATCGCGTGTACCATTCACCAGTATCGACATCAGAAAATTGAAAAGAAAGAGAAAAAAGCCCCCACGAGGGGGAAGATCCCGAGAGAGAGAGAGAGAGAGCACGATAAAAAAAGCGCACAGTTGAAAGAGTTTTAAAACATGAAAACGATACATACGGGGCCTCCCACGATATTACCTCTGTCTTCAGAGTTATGAAGTCGTCCCCATTTCACCCAGTCGTTACGAACCAGTTGGCAATATATGTGTTGTATATATATTAAATGTTTCGAATGTTGCACGAACTCGTCTCGATGTCTCTCTCCGTCCCTCTTGCTGTGTTGAGCGGGGAAAAATATTGAATGGTCTGTCGTATATTCCAGATCGCAAGAGAGGCCAAAGATCGATAAAAACCATGAGGATTGTATCAACATCGATCGTAGATCATCAGTAGATACGTGACTAAATCGCATGCACGTCACATTGAAGATAAATATCCAATGAAAATGATTTTAGAAGGATTTCACGGAAAAAAATCAACTCAATAAATTTTTTTATAAAACAATTCACTTGATCTATTTATACATATATTCATATCCATATTTATATGTGAGCGACAATTTGTTTCACAGTAATCATAAATATAAATTATTGACAGAAGTAATCAGCACCCTCAGCACTGGTAGCATTAACTTGGAATTATTCACGGATGTGTAGAAAAATAATTTAAATATCATTCTTGTTGCCTAACTTTGCGTACGATTGTATCATAATTCTTTCATATCATTCATAGTATTTACAATATTTGTGACAATGAATGAGGCAATATGTACACTCGTGTTAAGCAGATAACCGGATCGTTCACTACCGCCTAGGACTATTTACAAGAGCGATTGAACCCCTAGGTGCCCTAGAGCGTCCACCCTTCATTAATAAATAACGTAAAAAACATTAGAAAAAAAAATACAAAAGAGATTATACAAAAAGCTCATCGAAAAGAGGATCGCGGACGTTGCAGGCACCGGATCCCCCGAATTGATTAAAATTACCCTATTATGTACAGAGGAGAAAATGTTTCGCCAACCGAATACGAACATCACTATCTTTACTCTTCTTTAATCGCTTAATCCGTCTCAGTCTTTGTCAGAACACTCAACAGAGCGTCAATAAATAATAATAAAAAAAACACCCTTGCATAATACTGGACGCGTAATGAATGAAACGCGGAAGAACTCACAGACATTTTCATAACTGTTAATTAAAAGTATTAATAAAAGACGAAATGACAATGGTTTCCTCGTGTTATCTCGACCAAAGAAATTACATTCCCTCGACATTCCCCTCGATGACTGAATTCAAAGCGTCCTCTTCACCAGGAAGAGGTGTGAATAGTCGATTATTATTTTTTTATAGGCACGTGTGGATTGTTTTTTTTGTCCTGCACAGTTGACACTTGACCTCGCAACACCAGTGAAATGTACATGCACATCGCTCAACTACTATGACCTCCTGGGTCTTGTAGCCTCTGCCGCAACACATTAAATCACAACCATCGACACCGATACTCGTGTCATTGCACTGTCTACCGTGTGTACCAAGTATACCTAACTTTGGGTTTTTCTCACAGAAGGGTGGCGATGGCTCCAGGTAAACGAGGTCCTTGGCGCCTGGTGGTTTGTGCTCAGGATTGTACGGTTTCAACTGGAAATTGTAGCGGTGACGGCGGCCTAGCCCCTGGCGGGGACCGTGCACTGAGTTACTCGCGGAATTACTCACTATTGCGTTGCCGTTGCGCGCGCGGTCCGAGTTGCTCACCATTACTCGGGAGGCACCGTCGAAACGGTCCTTCAGGTTGTCACCGATTATTCGGAAATTCGGCAGACGCATCCAGCAGGTTTTTACCGTGCACGAGCCCGACATTCCGTGACACTTGCATTCTTGACGCATCTCCGAGGAGACGTGCTGTTGACAGAAAGATTTTTCGGGATTTTTAGTCTGCGGATTTTTGGAAATTTTTGGGGTATGGGTTTCGAAATTTTTGCGGAAAGTCAAGGGAAACTGAAAATTTGTTAGAATTTTGAATTTCCAATTTCTGGGGAAATTAGAGGAATTTGATATTGAATATTTGTGTTTTCAATAAAAATTTTCGTCTTATTGCTGCTCAAAAAAATTGAAATGTCGTTGGATTTTGAGTGAAATAGGAATTTTGTTTTCCCTTAAATCGAATTCAATGTTCCTGGAGGCGAAAATCTGGGGGAAATGGCAAATTTTGTGAGGAATCTTAAAAAAAATACTTTCCAAAATGTCTGTCCACATTTTCTCCAATTTTTTTATTCAAAATAAATTTTCAGAAAGTCATAAAAATATATTTCGAATACATAATATACTTCGAAAATATATTTCGAATACATAATTATGTTTTACGAGGAAAAACATAAAACATTCCGCAACTCGAGAACTTTCATAAAAAATCAGTGAAGAGAATGAAAATCAAATCGAATAAAAGTGAAAATATGAGAAAAATGTTTTCAAGATATTCTCAAAAATCTCCGCATTCCCGAGATATTTCTAATGAGCCTCTTCAACTAATTTCAACCCACTCACCGCTCTGCCGGCCTCATTGTTATGCAGATTCATCTTCTCCCTGAGGTTTCGTCCCCGCTCCCCGGTATCAACAAACTCCCTCGAGAATTTGAATCCGTATCCGATGTTATCCGAGCATCCCCCCCACTCCCAGTCCCTCACCTGGGAAGGCGCCCTGGACTGATGGGTGTAGTCACAGGAGCAGGACTGAATGGTGCCCTCGCTACATGCTCTCGCAATACTATGCGTCACTGCTGCACTTGTTATTGCGTAGATAAATGCAGTCTCTCTGCAACCTGCAATCACAAGAAAAAAAATAAAACATTAATACACTTTCATGAACGTAATGGCATTATTTTTTTCCGCAATTCCACATTTTGGGAATTACACAAAACGAATAACAAATAAAAAATTAATTATTTAATTTATCTGAATAAATTATCTGAATAATTTATTTTTGAAATCTCAACTTAAATTCACATTAAAACATTTTACATAAGCCGAATAACAAATGAAAAATTAATTATTCAAATAATTAATTTTTTAATTTAATAAATTAAAATTTATGGTAAATACTTTACATGTTTCGAAATTAACATTAATCGACAACAATTTTACTGAATAAAAAAATCGACTTGTCATTCACTCAAATCCACATTTAAACAATTTTTCACTAGCAAACAACGAATAACAAATAAAAAATAAATTATTAGCAATCGAAAAATCAATGATCAAATAATTTATTTTTCAATTCCTCAAGTTCTTCTGAATTCACCATGAATATTTCAAATGTCCGGAGATTAATCTCGAATTGACAAAAATTTCACTGAATAAAAAAATAAATATGTCTTCAGTTGATGCAGTTGATTCCGACTCGTCACGTACCCCAAATCGAAAATAAAAACCTCGACAACACGATAAACCTGAAACCCGCTCGCTCGTCACGACTGGCAAGGACGCCAGACCAACATG